CCGCTGCCCCAAGCCGCTGTGTGTGACGGTCAGACAACACCTGTATGATGGTTAGCTGATGCCTCAAGGGTACCGCATTCTCATGTCACTGTATGTGGCGGTCAGCCGGCGCTCCGCTGTGTGTGACGGTCAGCTGGCACTCCGCGGGGTGTCGCTTCCCCAAGCCGCTGTGTGTGACGGCCAGCTGGCACTACGCGGGGTGCCGCTTCCCCAAGCCGCTGTGTGTGACGGCCAGCTGGCACTCCGCGGGGTGCCGCTTCCCCAAGCCGCTGTATGTGACGGTCAGCTGGCACTACGCGGGGTGCCGCTTCCCCAAGGCGCTGAGTGTGACGGTCAGCTGGCACTACGCGGGGTGCCGCTTCCCCAAGGCGCTGGGTGTGACGGTCAGCTGGCGTTCCGCTATGTGTGACGGTCAGCTGGCACTCCGCGGGGTGCCGCTAACCCAAGCCGCTGTATGTGACGGTCAGCTGGCACTCCGCGAGGTGCCGCTAACCCAAGCCGCTGGGTGTGACGGTCAGCTAACATTCCGCGGGGTGCCGCTAACCCAGGCCGCTGTATGTGACGGTCACCTGGCACTCCGCGAGGTGCCGCTAACCCAAGCCGCTGGGTGTGACGGTCAGCTGGCACTCCGCGGGGTGCGGCTATCCCAAGCCGCTGGGTGTGACGGTCCGCCGGCGCTCGGCAAGGTGCCGCTGTCTCAAGCCGCCAAGGCCAGTGGGCCCCAAGTCGACAGGTCACGGGCACGATTGCCCCCCCCCCCCTCCCCCCGCTCCGAGAGCGAGGGATGGGCTTCTGTCACCAGGGGCACCACTAGCCGGCCACGCACCGCCTCCGCAGCCATTCACTTCTCCTATGACTAATGCATCCTGGACGAATAGGGAGGTTGGAATTAGGAGTCTGCACTGAACCACTTGATGCCCTGAAAGCACGGTAAGAAGCCGTGCGGTGGTTCCGGACATGAATAATTCACGTAACACTGATGGCCTTACATCGATCACATGCCCTCCAAGGTCATATTCAAAGGGATTATAGATTGCGCTTGATCGGAGAGAGAGAGAGAGAGAGAGAGAGAGAGAGAGAGAGAGAACTTGTTTTTTTGAAAACTGACCTTACCCGATAAATTGCGTGAAGTAATGCTCCTGCCGACGCCGTACGCCATGCGATCGATCGTTTCCGGCAGCGTGGATACGCGCTCCGAGGGAGGACGGCGGTCGGACAGGGCTGCCGCGGCGCCAGGGAGGGCGGCCGGCTGGCTCGGGAACCGGCCGCCCTGCCTGAGGCAGCAGATGGGTGCCTCAAGGTCGAAGCTGGCCAGCCATGTCCAGCGACCCTCGGACACGGCGGTGCTGCTGGCAGCCCGCCACGAAAGGTCACCGCAAGGTGGCAGGCGCATGCCGTGGCTACGTGGCTTTAGCATTGTGAGATCGGCGCCCTTTGCTGATAGCTATCGGTCTTCAATATCCCACAAGGCGCTGGTTAAAAAACGTCATCAAATGCACATTAGTGATATTGTTCATTCCGAACGTTTCGAAGGTGTACTCATGGTCAAGAGCATACGAAACATGGGTCGTAATTACACGGCTCCGAAACATCGAACATTATACCTAATGTCGTCGTTTAACGAGTACCGCCTAGTATGTGAAGATCGATTACTTTCAACATAATACCGTTGATCTTCTAATGCCGAAAAAACAGGAATTTATCGCGTTTCTTGCTGAAATCAATCACGTAGCTTTGTATGGCACTCATAGCGGCCGCATGCACTCCTCGGGCGTTTGGTCGAGGCCAGACTCCCTTCACCGGTAATTTGAACCCCAGGTTGTGCATTGAATAAGGCAGTGCTCTTTGTGACTTGTGAGTTTTTCGGTGCCGTTTTTGCACAGGACGAAAGCATGTAAGCGGGTGGGTCTGAGAGGGGTGGGGGGGGGGGGGGGGGGGGGAGGGGAGAGGCGGACGAGTTCGGGCTCTTCGGTCTGTCGGTCGGTAATAGTAATTGCTCTTTATTGTCAAAATGACATGCGGTTTCGACGGGGTAGACGCCGACCAGCAACCAAGCTCAAAATGTGGGCTTTTGCTATGGCTGGGCCTAAGTATTTTATCACAATTTGGTCACAGCATTATATATATATATATATATATATATATATATATATATATATATATACACACCTGTGCGTGCGCGTGTGCGCTTATGCCGGTGTGCCTCATTGCAAGTTCATCGATTTCGTCGATCAAAAGTGTCAAAGCGGGTATGGTTACTCGATCGGTTCAAATGAGTTGAGTTGAATTACGCGAAACATTTCGATGCATTGCATGCCCGTATCTGGACACAGGTATTGGGTAATGAAACCAAATATGTGGTCCGAGAACACTGCTTCGGATGACGCCAGTTTTGGCCCGTCTGTACTAACTTTACTTTGGCAAACGCCGTCTTTAAAAATACGATTTTATGGACTTAGTTAAAGCTTAAAGCTTAAAGATGGGCTTAAAATTGCAGCCTCGAGCACCGAGTTCAAATCAGTATCTTCAAAATCGGCTATTATAAACCATGACCTTACCAAATTGGCCTGGTCGCAAGAATCCCAAAAAGGCAAGTATCTCGTTGTATACATCCATCTTTAACATTTGCTTTACCTTACTTTTATGACATCAAAAGTCTTTTTCGCCGAGACTTATTTCGCCGCCTTGCATGCCAGCCAACATTTTTGAGATGCTTCCAGTCAGGCCTGAGCTTGACTCCAATTTTTAGAATCGCTTTACCAGTGACCGAATGATTCTGATCTGATTCAAATGATAATGCTGTCTTCGGTGAATGGACTCTTTGTTGGTTCACATTCCAGTGCAATGATTCAGTGTTATTTCAAATTATCATCTCACATCGTCTAAATCGGCTCAGCATCGATTAACCACACATTTAACATTTGTACGCTGTGTTTTAATTAATAAATCATTTCGCCACGGCCAATGTCCCCTGATTATGTGCTGCACTGATAACACTGATGGTGAAATGATAACAAAAAATATATTTCAACTCCATTCAGTTGGCCTTAGCAATACCCTTCCTTGATGCAGATCAACTCTTTTAATGGGCTCCAACGATTCGATTCATGATTTGTTATCATGTATACCAAATGAAATGCATGTTTTTCATCAAAGCATGATGTAATTCATGAATGATTAATCGATTCGTCTTGAATCGAACACTAGTCTGCTTCCAGCATGTGTGTACATACTTGTCGGCCGTTTCTGTTGGCATGGTGACGTGTATGGGAAGATCCATAATGCAGTACCGCCTGTCGAGACATTACCGCCAGCATTCCGTACGTGTAGAAAACGTTACGTTTTCAGTTGCCCCCCACTTGCTGGCAAGGCATTGGTGCGCCGCCACCTATCGGAGTCCTTGGGCATTACCAACTCGGCAAGCATGTCCGACGGAGTGCAGACCCGAGGATTCGTGCCGCGTATGTAGCCACATAGTACATACGCCATAAACGGTTGGTCACACCTGAAGCCTCCGACGTTCGCTGGCAATCTGGAAGGTTGAACATAAATGAACCAGACCAAGAGTGGTTTCCTTTGGATTGCCGACTTGGCTGAATTGCACTGCCAACCCCTGCTATGCCAGCCAGTTAAACCGCTTTATGACATGGTAATGCCTAAATTTTGACAAACGCTCAGATCGTAATGCGTGCGAAACACGATTTTGCACACCTTGCGTGGTCTTGCCGGCGAATGATTTAATCAAATTGTGAATAGGGAATGCTTTGAGCCCCAGGGTTTTTTGCATCATGAACTTCTTTTGTCGATAATAAGCGACGTTAAAAGGACAATATCTGTCTTCAATAGTTTTCAGTTATGGTTATGAGCACAACTTGAAATATCGAGTAGTGCAAAGGCAACCATGTCTGCTTGATAAGGTTGTCTAACCAGTGCTTTCTGGCATGATGGAGGTCGATTATTGTCAGTGTTATATTTCCAAGCCCATAACCTAGCCACGGCAGATTCAGGCTAGGTTATATCATGACTGTTCTGACGCTGTAGATGAAATCCCATTCAAGCCAAAGCTCGCTAAAGTGTTATTCCAACTCACAATCGTCAGCGATGGTAACAACTTACGATTATCACACAACATCAAACAGTTCTTTAAAGCAACAGGATAATTTTTGTAGACAGATGAATGTGACTTGCAAATCGGATCAGAATATGTGTTCTCAACCGCACTAATGTTTTACTTTATTTCTAAAGCTAGTGTGTTACCGCTACCCGTGTTTGCACAGTGCATTCCGAACACACTTGTTTTGAATGCGTCTGCTAGAATTTATTGATAACTGGTTTGTCATTCCTTTAAACGTAGGACATAAATGATAATATTAGCGTCTCTTTCCCGTCGAGAAACATATGGTGGACGGCCACCAAGGTCCGGTATTACGAATTCTTCAGTGAGGAAATTTGCATAAACCTATCCAACTCGATTTTTGCTTTCAGTCCGAACTCATCTGCTAACGCAAGACCCTTTAGCAGATCTTGAGATATAAAAGACTACTAAATGGCGATGGTGTTCCCCAATGTCCAATTCTCATGAATTCGATGTGACTGCCAGACCACCACCACTCAGGACTACCAACGCCAACAAGAGGTCGGCGACTGGCTGTCCCAATCAGGTCACGCGGCGGCTCAAAGTGTCCTGGCTGAACCAACACGGTTGGAAATATTGCCATGTGGTGATACGTTACCCGATCTGTAAGCGTTTTCTTAGACGTTTCCCCATTCACAGGCAACACAAAATTTGCCGTTTTACTCGGACGATATCGCCAGGGGGTCACGAAGGGAATAATATTATTTTTGGGTCGGTGGGAAATGTGCTCCTCTGCTTCTAGGAAGCGCGTAAACTGCGCTCATGGAAGTGCTAGGTCAAAGTAGTTTCTTCGAAACCAACTTCTTCGTGAAAACATTTGTTGTTAACAACTGTCCTGTTCTCACCAACTGCCAAGCAACGCACATTGACTACCGCCGATCGGTTCGTGTATTTGGTCCAATTTTAAAAGCACTAAAAATTTGCAGCTGTGATTAATCTTGCCTCCGGAAATATGCACAGGATGGCGCTGCTGCAGTAGGCGACCGCCGGCTACTCCGCATCGATAATCTCCGGGTTCCCTCGGACGAATCGCGGCGGTCCTTGAGCTTCGGGGGCGATCCGTAGGTCATCAGGAATGTCCTCCACCGTGTATGGTACCTGCTTGTACCGCTCGCCGTCGTACGTGTACCTGGGCACAGAACATACACCCGTGTCGAACAGTTGCCGCTAAGACGAGATGTTCAAGCAGTAGCATCACATAAATCGTCAAATATGATCTTTACCAGTTTTCGGGTCAAGTTTAATTGCCTGGATTAGCAGGCTGCATCCAGGTATTATATAGCGACGCATCGATTCGCTCCAATCATGACACATCACTGAAATTGTTTTGAACGGATGCCCACCTTTGATGTACCTGTCCTAGAAGCCAGCCTGAATATCAATGCATCACTGCATCACTCCGGCGCTTGGCAATAGCCAACATCGTCCCTCCTCATAAACAAAACCCTGGTCATGCGCTTGACAGCTTCTGATGCAGCTGCTCAGCCCCTCCGTCCCTACTATGACGCCAGCTTCCTGCAAGAGATTTGACCTTCTTCCCAGCCGTACTTTCTTCACGCCGTAACATCTAAGCAAACGCCTGTCTTGAACAACGGATGCTGACATGCGACAGTGACAATTCGTTTTGGAAGGATCGAAGGCGATGACGCTATAGTGGTGTTGGCCGAAGCAAACGGTCCAAGGTGACTATTTCCCGTTCCCTGCGTGCGCTCGGATTGATGATGTACTTTTTGAAATTGAGAAAATTGTTGATATATCTAAAAAGGCCCAAACCCTTTAACGTCTTATGTGAAGTGACACAAAAAAGTGATCCAGTTCTGAATCAGTTTAGTTCTGTGTTTTGGAGAAGGTCAAGTAATGCATAGCACGGTTACCTCTCGAGACAAAATTTACCACACCATTATCAACTCTGCGTTCTCGAAGGCAACAACATCTCACCGCACGCCAGAAAGCTCCGCACACAGAAGCACTGGAGATGGAATACGTGTCACAGATGTGAAATGCACACAATACCATGAAAAACACCAAGTGCGTTTTGCGGCACAACACTGTGCCACATCCAGGAGTGAAAGTTAGCGCTAGCGTACGTACATGAAGGCTGTGATGGACCCGTCTTCGTTCTTGTATCCATAAATGCCCCGAAGATGGCCGTTTCCGAGTCGCTCCTCCACCCGGAACTGATTGTCGTCATCAAAGCCGAACCTGCAGCATCCAAAGAGTCATTGCTGGCCCGGCCGGCTCTGAGACGCCGACACCAAAGTATAGAAAAAAGCGACACAACTTACTCCCGGATAGATTTACCAGTGCCGAGCACTGTTGTATTTGCCAGTGCCGAACACCGTCGTATTTACCAGTGCTGAACACCGTCGTATTTACCAGCGCCGAACACTGTCCTATTTACCAGTGCGGAACACTGTCGTATTGCACATCCTGATGACTTTTCGCTATCTGGTGTGCTGAGCCAGCTGTTAGAAAACATCAGTTGTGACCGAGCCATAGATTAAGGCATTTCGACAGCCGACAGTATATGGTCATCTTTGCTTATCTGTACTCAGGTGCATCTGGCAGTAGCTCAGAATCAAAAGGCGCAGTGGGCACTGCAGACTGCCATAAATCAAATTTCAAATACCAATACCCAAAGATTGTAGTAGGGCATGCAGGCTACCACACACTGCGGGTCGCTGGTCCTCATGCCTTCACGCTCGTGCCCTGTTGTAAACTCGGACAGAGAAGTTTTACTCCTGCAAGGATTGTCTCGTCACCTTAGGCCGAGAGAAGTTGGCCGAAATCCAATCACACCGGGCGCCGAGATAAATTCTGGGATATTTTCTAATTGTGAATGTTTTGCAGTTTCTGGAGGGCGTTGTCTAAATATCGTTCTACGCACGATTTCTCTCAAATATCACAGGAGAAAGGTGTCGATAACTGCCAGCCATTCTTAGAATCGGTTTCAGAGGAGTGTTTCAAACAGCCGCTTTACAGTCCCGTAACAATGCTGGGTCCGTTTCGCAAACGCTAGAAGTCTCTTTGGAGCTGAAGAGCTGTTTTCTGAGGACCAGGCTCATGGTCCATTATAAAAAAAAATTATACGACCTAGCACCTTGCCGTGGTTCCTCCTCGTTAAAGCTTGGACGACAACTGTTTTGCTTCAGTTGTCGCCATCAGATGTTCGAACTGGTGACAGAAGCGTCCTTCTCCACATGCTTCAGCCCATCTTCAGTACTACAGATCTCCTTGTCCAAGCGTTTCAAGATGCACTTGAAGCGTACTGATCGAAGCAAGATAAGCCCGTGATCTGAAGACATCCGTAGCTGGCAGTGACTTGAGAGTTGGCAGGAGAGATTTTACTCTTGCAAAGACCGACTCGTCGCCTTAAGCCGAGAGAAGCTGGCCGAAGTACGACTACGCGATGATCATCGTGAGTTCTTGGAGCTTAGATCATTCCCAAGATGAACAGCCTCTGCGAAAATTGAGTTTCTGCATCGAAATGCTACACCCTACAACATGTATGAAACACAAGATCTACAGGATCAACATATTCTTGCCTTGAGATCAGTCGCACCTGAACAGCGAATTATGGGTACCCAAGCGCTTTGTCTGTTTGCCCGCTAGTCTGCACGTCGGGGGATGGCTCTGCGCTCCACTACGGTCAAAGCTCCCGTGCGTGACCTCGCCTTCTTGCGGAACTTCCCAGTGAATTATGTTCGAGCGCTTTGTCTGTATCATCGTTACTCTGCACGTCGGCGGTGGTTTGCGCTCCACCGCGGTCAAAGCTCCCTTGCATCACCTGGCCATCTTGCAGAGCTTAATCGGGCACCCGGGCCCTGAAATATCAAAAGCGAGCTCCGGGAAGTTCTTCAATCACCTCTGGCTTCCCAGCGAAGAACTCACTGGTCTGCTGTTCTTCGACGAGGCCGAGTCATGGCAAGCGCGGTGTTGGACTGAGCCCATGTTTTGCGCACGTTATTTCCTGCTGAACATTATCACTCATGAGAACGTACTCTGCAAAAGCCGTCATTGGAGAACGACCTATGGCGTATACAGATATTCGGAAATTTAGACAACTTGCCAGATTCGCCAGGTAAAGACAAGGCTGCCATGGCATAGCCACATCACATACACCCACGAATTGTCAATGGTGCTGCACATTCGGAACATATCGTGTCATGGAGGAATATCACTCTTTAAGACCTGAACGGAAATAAACCACTACTTGTGCCCTTTGCGCAATTGAAACAACCTAAAGAAAAGAGGAACATTTCCGACAACTATATGTGGATAGCTTTAAACGCCAAAGTCCGCAACCTTGACCTTCCGGTTTGGCCATGCATTCAACTGAAGGCTGTTTTCACAATGATGAGTCGTTGCTCTTTCGTCTAGCCCCGTCATCGAAGAACCACGCCCAGTCACTGTTAAACCTGCCGTGCAAAGCCTTCCAGTGATCTCGTGACCAAGAAAGGCGCGTGACAATACCGTGGACCGTGAGATTGCTTAATAGAAACGGTGCATCGGCTTAATCGTACCTCTACGGGTTTTCAGCGGACTTTCGAAGACACCGAGGCCTGTTTGTGACGGGAGACTCATGCACGCAGGCTCCGTAACGTCTCCGACGGTAATTTAAGCGAATTTTGTGGGATACATTGATCACTCGCTTTGAAAGGCGATGGTATGCTGCTGTGTCCCACACCGATTAGGTTTAGTCCGAGCTCTTTTGGCCAACAATGGTCATTTGAAAAGAAGAGAATTCAGTAGAGCGATAAGTGGTGGAGCAATGCTTTGTCCATCGTGCAGTCGTCTGCACCGAGCCGCATGTTCCACAGGGGCCCACGCTCGGGTTTTGTGCAGATGCTGGAGCGAGGCTGCGATCGTGGGGGCCAACACATGGTCGAGTGCCGCAGAGGACTTCCGGCGCGACGGGGCGGGGCGTGGAGATGAGCGGAGCGGAAAAGCGGGCTGGATACTTCCGCCATACTGACATGCTGAAAATTAGTGTGCCTAACGATGCCGGTAAAATGACGGTACCAAGTGATCATTAGGATTGATTATGAATGCGAGCGGCCATGGCTGAACATGGCTAATTCGTCGCTACGGGGACTGCCTTGAAACGCCGAGAATTTCCATAATATATATTTTAAGCTCATTTTACGCAAACACTACTGGACAGGAGCCTAATTTGGTGTCAGGTCTGAAGCACACCGTAACTGGAAGAAAAAGGAGTGAAACCTGTCGTTTTTCATCACATTTATTGACATAGCCGGTAAACATGGCTGCAGAGGCCTTCGTCTCGTCATCATGCACCTATTCGTCATTTTTTGCACGTGAACTGGGTCCCACGAGACCAAATCATTAAGACCAATCACCGCAAACGTGAAATGACGAATAAGCCCATGGCGACGGAATAAGGACTCTCGTGGTGAACTTGGCTGGCCATTTTAATACCCCTGAGGTTTAAGATGGGTTTCGTTGCCGCTCATCCTAGTTGTCCATTTCGGTTTTGGTACAAAGTTAAGTCCCCGTCCAGCAGGATAGCGTGAGAAGCGTCATTGATTGCAAGCTTTCGTCGTTCATCCAATGCTTTATAATATGCTGAGGCCGGCCATGCTCAGCATATATATTGCAACGTCAAAAAGGACAGCAGCTCCAGGATTTTTCTGCTTCCCTCAAGCGGATAGTTTTCACAGTGTAGGGCGGCTGTGGATGTACGCAGTATCCGCGTGGAAACGATGGTAAGATACCATGGGAATCATAGCAAAGTAATCGATACCCGGTGTGATCTCTGTCTAAATATCCATGCCTCTGTCCGATCATGATAAATCTCGTCTCACATCACGTGTCAGACAACAATAACATAACCAATGACATAGTCTGTAACAGCATCTGCGGCCTTTGTGTACACAAAACACCATTTGCCGAATACATTGAAGCAGGCCCGTGTCAACAAATCCTGCATTACCAAAAAATCCGGCGACATTTGTACCGTTTGTTTGTTTGTTCGCTTCTTTGTTGTTTTTTCAGCTCCGCCATCCTTACGGTTTATGGCTTTTGCAGGGTTATCTTAATCGCTGACCATTTGGTATGTCGACACACAAGGAACGTACCAGTATCATGGTGAGATCGACTTCGATGCCGCTATGACGTAACAGGCCGGAGCACACACCGTGCGAAGGGCGATTTTACCGCTACTATCCGCGTGCTGCGATTATTCTGTCCGATTAGCTTTTCGTATAATGAATTCCGACCACTTGTTCCTGACGGTTTTTTAGCATTGATAGCAATTTCACATTTAATTTTAGCAGCTTTAACTTCTAGTTTGATGAGCCACAGTTCGAGGAAGTTTTCCTCCAACCCGTTATCTAAAAGTTCTTCAGCATGTTGTAAGATAAATATCTAATCATGCCCACGATTTTTGTTTAGTAATATCTGATGGGCTGCATGCTTAGTTCAGCAAACATTGAAATGTCTCAAATAATCCAGTGCGACGTTCGGCGTCCGCATATCCGTCCAAATTCATATACCGCTGAAATTCAAACACTTCCAGCGCAAACGTCCAGTCGTCAGCGGTACTAATCATCTTTAAAACGCTGCTTGCAAGAACCTACAACTAGTAAAGCAAGATCACCCGCCGACCCACTTGTATTTGCCGTTCTTGGGATAGAGCTTCTGGTACTGGTGATTGGACGTGACGTGCGTGACCTTCTCGACGCGAGGCGGCCGGATGATGACGCTGCCCAGCTGAGCCTCGTCGAACTCCGCCTCCAGCGGGACGGCTTCGACCACGTCCTCCTGCGGCAGCGGGGAGGCCAGCGCCGAGGCCAGCAGCGCCGCACACAGGATCACATGCTGTCAGAGCAGGGAGGCAGTGTAAGCCACTGTCATCATCACATGCTGTCGTATTCAGAACAGGAGAGGGAGGATCAGCCACTGCCGCCATCACACACTGCCAGAACAGGAGAGGCAGGGTCAGCCATTGTCATCATCACACACTGGCAGAACAGGAGAAAGAGGGCCAGCCACTGTCATCATCACACACTGACAGAACGGGAGAGGGAGGGTCAGCCACTGCCATTATCACACACTGGCAGACCAGGAGAAAGAGGGCCAGCCACAGTCATCGTCACACACTGGCAGAACGGGAGAGGGAGGGTCAGCCACTGTCATTATCACACACTGGCAGAACAGGAGAAAGAGGGCCAGCCACAGTCATCGTCACACACTGGCAGAACGGGAGAGGGAGGGTCAGCCACTGTCATTATCACACGCTGGCAGAACAGGAGAAAGAGGGCCAGCCACAGTCATCGTCACACACTGGCAGAACGGGAGAGGGAGGGTCAGCCACTGTCATTATCACACACTGGCAGAACAGGAGAAAGAGGGCCAGTCACAGTCATCGTCACACACTGGCAGAGTAGGAGAGGCGGGATCAGCTACCGACAGGATCATACGCTGCCGGAGCAGGGATGAGGATCGGCCACCATTAGAATCACGAGCTGCCGGAGCAGGGAGGAGGGTCAGCCGTCGTCAGGATCCCATGCTGCTCAGGACAGGATTCCATGCGGCTCAGGCACGATCCTACGCGGGCCGCCGGTCGCCGGTGGATCGGGCAGAGCCGATCGGGCCCTGACCGATATTTGCCGACCACGGGCGGTTCCAGACCGTTACCTGTGCGGTACGCGCACCGCACAGCTGGGACGGACTGAGCCGCCGGCTCGGTGACTTAAGCTCGCGATGGCGACTGGCGCTGACCGACCGACAAATGGTTCGCGGCAGCTCCCAGCAAGACAACGCAACTGCACAGTAGAAGGCAACCTGCTTTGCACTGTATTGATAAAAGTGTAACATGCTCTGGAACCAAGGCAGCGGCAGGCAGGACTGTACAGTACCGATGGTATTGGACAAGCTCCGGTACATGCCGTCTGGACTCTAACCGGTACGGCGATGGTTCTCAGCATAGTTTGGAACACAATGAGCCTTTGTTGGATAAGTGGGGCGCACGCGACTGGAGGCTTGTGGTAAAACGGAGGCAGTGCTTTAATGAAACTTGCATGAAAGACTTTGGCAGCTTCCTGTCGGTTTTTGTCAAGTCATTGCTTTTAAGGGCTAAGCAAACCACTCTGGAAAAATAAACATGAATGGGAGTTTTCAAGGCGTTTACACGAGGGTGTTTGTTAGATGCCGCAAAATGTGTGTTATGCGGATTTAAAGCAAAAAATCGCACATGTGCTTGCCTCAGACTTAGGTTCAGGTGACGTTGCGAACAGCTTATGCCCGATGTTTTCAGACAGCGGTGCAAGCACCAGAGTGATGCAAAATGAGGGAGAGGATTGCTTTCGTTAAATGCAACAAGCATGGATATAATTGTCCGTGTTTAGTTTTGATGCTGAAAATCGTGAGGCGGAGATATCGGGTAAGCGTTAGCATGTTTCATCATAATTCTCGATTTGCTATTAATAGTTTTTGTGTATGTGTTTTCTGCTGGCGATAACATGGCGTTTTCCTGACTACCTATTTTGTATTCTTACGCCAAGCTTCGCAAAATAGCTATGTCTTGTTGATTCGATGCTTTCGGAACATAAATACTTAACTCATATCAGTGACCAGATGTATTGCAAGACAAACACATTTATACTTATAGATTAATGACCATCTTTAAACCAACATTTTTAGAAAACTAAGAAATGGCAGAACGCAGGTACCCAGATCATCGATCACAAAATTGTTCCACCCAGACTGGTCTAACCGAACCAAAGGCGTTTTCACCTGCCACTCAGTACCTGTGCGTTGCAGAGTTGGCACAATTTGTAGATCCTGAAAACCCAGTGCACCCCTGCGGCCCAAATTCGTAACGCACGCAAATAGTTTTCTAAAGCGTAATATATACGTAAATATCCGGTAATAGAAAAGAGGTAGAAAGAATGTCGCATTCATTAGCAGACATATACATGGGTTATCCGAACTAGAACTTTACTGTATGAGGTGATATGATCTTGGCATGAACACAAGGCTGCGCTTCGAGATGCATCCTATTATTGCCTCCTAAAATATCTCCTGAAGCGTGAAGTAGGAACAAACTTAGGTAAGTAACCAGTCATTCCTAATGTGAGAAGCGGGTATAAGCTGATGCCTGAGTGAGATACAATCAACGTCGCCCACGAGCTGCGAGTCTTCTCTTTGCAGCGTTTCCCTTTTAAAACGCGCGCTCAGCTGGGGTAAATGGGCTCGGAAGGTTTTTCCAAAGTAACTTCCGAACAGCGCGGCACAGCCTTCCCAAACTCTGTAAAGCGATAGGCAATGGAATAGTCCATCACTCGGTATGCAAGTTTTATGTATCTTGTAAGGTCACTGACCTATGACAGGTCAAAGACAGGTCAAGGCTGTCGCTGAAAGCAATTCCTAGTGAATCGTTCAACATGATGCGACAACGTAGTATCAGACGAAATCATATGACTTTGATGTTGTTTTTTTGCGATACAGTTATTGAAATTTACGTTGCGACCAATTTCAATCACCTCAGTTCAGGAATGAAGGTCAGATCGAGGTCAAAACCAAACTGCGTTATTTCTGGACGGCTTGAAGTTCTACGGCAGTTTTTGACACCCATTTGTTCTTCCTGGACCACGAAGACGTCAACAAGTTTTCCATTTCAGTGCCATTAAGGGAGGGAAGGTCACTGGTCTAAATGGACCTCGATTTACCTTTTGCTCTCAGGAGCATGTCTCCTAGGGTAGCACTTTACGCTAATTGTAGAATTGAATACCAAAATAACCCCGAAGGTTTCTGGTCATTTCGATTTTCTAATAATGACATAAGGGCACTGACATCATAAAACCACTATTAACATAATGCTGATAACAGGTACTATATGGAGCACGTATTTAGATTACAGCTGGTTGCGTGAGCAGATCTGAGGGCACCTCCGACACTTATCCGTAGTTTGACCTTGTTTGACCTTATTTGTTGAAAAGATCCCGATCTAGGGACCTTAAACTTTGACAAAAGTGAGATCACACGGAGCCTTATACACATTTAGCCCCACGTCACCCCTACCCCTGCTTCTAATTACCTCTGCCTCTAGTGTCCCTAGCTCTCTTAGAGCCTGAGATCTTAGCAGCATCGCATCGCAAATTCTTTAAAAGCAGAGTACGCACATTTAGGTTACCAATGCCAGCTGAAAAATCCTACGTTAGCTGAGGCACGTTACGGTACACATTCAGGAAGGAAGATGATTGGTTGAGGGTAACCGTAGCGTAACAAGGGGATGGAGTTTTGGACAGCATAACGGTACGTACGAGCGGGGTTGCAGGTCTAGAAGCGATCTTAAAAAAAGCTGTTCTAGCAGCGTTTCCAGGGGAAGGAGGAAGTAACCAAATCATAACCAAATGGAGGGGATAGAGAAATGAGCAAAAACGTGCAGCGTTATTTATGGACGTCGCTTGGTCGTCTACCGTCTTTGTTCCAATGCTGGGGTTAGTGACCGTCCTACCAGAGGTCAAGCTTGAGGCCACGTGTCACCACCACCCTGTCAGCCGTCACTCGCAGAGCCACGGCAGCACACTCGCCGGCTGCAGATCCATCCCGGCGAGCCCTGGTCTGCGCACTCACCGCGGCCATGGTGCGGACACTGATCAGCGGTCCGGGCCGGCGGCGCGGCGGCCGGCCCTCCGAGGGGAGAGCGCAGAGCGCGCCGGCAGAGCGGCACCGGTCGGGGCTGAGGGCGGCGAACCGGTCCGACAATAGACCGCGCTCAGCGGCGCCGGCGCGACCCTCGCCAGACTCTCACGGGATGGCCGGCGATGGCCACGCAAAAACGGCCGGCCGACCGGCCGCGGCGCCTCCAACGGGCCGACCGGGTCCGTTGCGGACCTGCGGTGTGGCCCGAAGAGGGGCCTCGGACCCACTGCCGGCCCGAGCTGCCGATACAGGCTTGTTTTTGCATTCCTCAGGTGACCATAGCAGAAAGGTCACTGGTTGAGCTGGGGGGGGGGGGCGGAAGTCAAACCAGATCGATAAAGCATATAGGCTCATCAACCTGACTGACTGACTAACACACATATGTGTCAATGACCTCACCCGTGTCTAACAAAGCCAGCTGCCCGTAATGACCCTGGCTAGCCTGGGAGTGGTTATAGGAAGCAGAACACACTCGCCGCGAGAACGATGTTGAGAATTAAGTTTTACCATGTAAAGTTACGGTCCACAGTAACACGACCTGGGCTAAACACTTTCCTGGCTCCTATCTTGATAAAAACTAGCCCGTGTGCACAGTCGACACAGAGAATACATTCGTCTGATGTTCTGAGTAGAGCAGATGTGCGTTGTGGTTTTCATGGAGTCCTAGCGCATTAGCTCGTTCGATATCGTTCTAATCCGAGTGAAAGCTGCATTACCTTCGATGGCCTGCTGTCAAAGCATCGTGTGGCAATGATGTCAGTCATAATGTTAGACGTGTCTAAGTCGTTATATCTGGACTGAGCCAGTGAATCATCTCCTACATACTATTTCGTTCTATGATCTTGTAACATCAAATTGTGCGATCCAATTTGACAAATTTACGACATGAATGTCAATGTTACACTTCAGAAGAGATTCCCCCACTGACGATGAGGCAAACAGAAGCAAAACTGAAGATAAGAACAACACCAAGTTGGCTGGTGAGAATACATTCTAGGCCAAACAAATCCAGTATAAAAAATTAGCCGTGCTAGAGCTGAGCGGAAAGCGGAGTCGGTTAGCTATCTCACAGTACCTGGAGATTAGTGTCATTAAACGCCCTGTCTTCTTTTGGTCAGTGAGGAGAAATGCATTTAAACGTGAGCTCCTTACCACCTCGGGCCCCTCCCACCCCGCTGCCTTCCGCCGCGCGGGCTGTCGCTGCTCCCACCCCGCTGCCTTCCGCCGCGCGGGTTGTCGCTGCTCCCACCCCGCTGCCTTCCGCCGCGCGGGTTGTCGCTGCTCCCACCCGCTGCCTTCCGCCGCGCGGGTTGTCGCTGCTCCCACCCCGCTGCCTTCCGCCGCGCGGGTTGTCGCTGCTCCCACCCCGCTGCCTTCCGCCGCGCGGGTTGTCGCTGCAAGCTCTTCAGTCTCGTGAACGCGGGTTCGTGCACGATCTGCAGTTTTAAATCGGATTCATTTTCAGAATGTTATACCGTTGAGCCATTCGGTCGTGTCGAACAAGAGCAAGGTGCGTCTTGGGCCAAATGTGTTGAACACACTTTAAATGGCGACTATAATGTCGCGTGGTCGGTTTTGACCATCCCACGAGCACATATTCCTGCCAGTCAGAGTGCGAGGATGTCCTGTGGTACCGTGAACATGCATCTGAAATAAAAGCCTCCTCTATCAAGCGATGTGTCTGTCCCAGGCAATTACTCCGGGGCGCCTGGCAGCGGAGTAACACACCGTGGACACGCACTCTCATTGTCCAAGCAACAAACAAGACAGGCCGGCCATGATCGGATAGAAGACCGCTGCCACGCGTCGATACTCCCATCGCCGCCAGTACAGCTGCTCCCCGGGGAAACAATCGCAAACCGGTGACGTCACGAGAGCTTGGCGGATGGAGGGACGCGGGAAGCATCATGACACCCCCGCCGCACTGGACAGCTTGCCCAGAAATGAACAGCTCCTTAAGCCCTTTTTGTGTTAAAGCTGTCTATTAGCAGACGCCAAGGCCGTATGAAAGAGTTAGAACCTTCCGGTGACTCCCGCTTCATCTTTGCTTAATACTAGCGTGACATCACTGGTGGCGAGACTAATGCCCGGCGCGATACTCGGTGTCGAGTGAAATGCTTAGGACCAGCCATCGAACCATGGACCATCGAAATATTCGCACAAATGAAAAAGCCGCTGGCGAAAGGTGTACATGACCAGCGAGCCGATTACTTATAGGTGTATATCACCAGCGAGCCGAATACGTACGATTCCATGACGAGCACGATGATCTGCTTTGCAAGCCTATATGGAACACCATTAAAATGTAGTGGTCTGAGAAGTGAAGACATATACGCGAGGCTTAATCGCAATAGAGCGGAAGGAGCCAGAGGTGAAAAAAGCTTCTGACTTATCGGTTATGATCCGTGACGAAAACGGAAGTTCTGCGAGCCAAATAGTGACAAAATTGCGAAAATGGCAGCAAATTACGGCAGACCAAACCATTCTACAGCAGAGCACCCCAGTTAGACGAAACTGAAGGCTCAATAGCGGTCTGTATTCATTAATGCTTGCAGCGTGAGCATGTGTACCGCACATGTCAGAAAGTTGACATCTCGCTGTATGAGCAAGTTAAGCCACACGATGTTGCCGAACGTAGCAGCTATGATTAGCATAGTTTTTAGCAGATGGCGGAAGCGTGCTACAAACTCTAGTATATCAGTGCTGGTGTCACAGATCAGTGGTGGCACAGTGCTGGCGTTCCAGACCAGTGGTGGCACAGTGCTGGCGTCACAGATCAGTGGTGGCACAGTGCCTTTCAACGTCTCTCAGGTCTGTGCTTTTCACAGATTTCAGTACTTTTCACAGCCAAGATTCACTTCACATAATAAACAGTACAAAATTGTAAATAACTAAGCTTTATACTGGTCGTTGGAATCGTGGTTGGCCACGGCATCTTGCGACGAAGGTGATTAGTTTGCCACGCGGAGTTTTAAATCGTCGTACCACTTGAGACAGATGAGCTCGAAAGCACACCACGCGGTAATGGATTCGGTTCCGTATAAGGCACCGGGGTGCCATTGGTTGTTTTCATGTCGTGAGAGTCTGACTGGCTCGAAAAAAACGTAGCCAATCGTCAATTTTTAAGGTGCGGTGCGGTTTTTTAATGATCTGCTGTAAAGGGTTTATCTACACTGATAGTAGCGTTAAGAAGTCGCGCCAATTTAACAGCTTTTCTGTGGATAACTGAACGGTAGCTTCAGAGTTCAACGGGAGGCGTTGGAGCGACACATGACAAGGATTTATCAAAGGCTTTCTGCTGCTAAGAGAAACAGCGGCTTTGAGGCAAGATGCAGGACGCCGCTGGGGCAGGTCTCTCACACTATCCGTCGCACCTTACACTTAGCGTACTGACCAGTGGACAGACGTGAGATTAAACACTTTTCATTGTTATGATAGTGTATATAAAGCTAAATGAGGACGCCAGAGGCGTTCAAAAATGTCGTTTGCATGTGTTGATACCAAAATTGCATGGTTTCAAGTGGTTAATTGGGTTCATGATAGGTAGTTGAGTTCTGCGCCGGTAATGATCATGCACAAGATAATGAAGGCTGTCAACGGTTCCAGCTGATTGTACGATGATGTCACAAGGCCAAGTAAGATTGTCTTCAGGTGCTTGTAGAATCACGATATCGATAAATGTAACGCTTCAAGGATACAACGTTACAAAACAGGTATGGCTGAGGGACGGCTGAATGTGATACAGGAAGAAAAAAAGCCGAGACTGCCCCTAAAATGCACTTACAGTTCTCTCCCCAGATTTAACGCACTTTCTTTTCAGATTTGGGGACAGGGGAATAGTTACTCAAAATTAGGTTTTTGGAACTGAAATTTAAAAATTGTGAGTAATTAAAAATATTAGATAAAAGTGATCAATGAATATAGGAAACCACATCCCCGGTTAGGGGGCACAGTCCCCCCCCCCCTTAACTGAATGGGAACTACGTGCGTCTAGGCTGGTTGTGTTAAGTATAACTTTACCTGATAGTTGTGTTGGTCTAACCTTAAACCTCAGTTACTGTTTGATGGGCGGCAAATGATACTTTAACACGCGGTCGGGTGGCCGGCTAGATAGCCGCCCCCCCCCCCCCCCCCCCCACCCGTTCAATCTTGTCCAACAACGGAGTGTTAGGCGAAGCCATACACCTCTGAGATGCTTTCTTAGGCAACACAACAATTGAGTGAACAAATTGCATTGACCTAAGGTTAGTTATAAAGGTCAGGCCGAGGTAAAAATAAACCTGCTTTATTTCTCCAGGGCTTGCTCTATGGGATAGTTTCTGGTGCTGAATAGGTCACTGACCTAGAATGAGCCAGGGCAACATTTTGTTTTTAGGGACATACTGCCTCGTGCAATCTACGTCGCTTATCCAAATGCAAACTCAAAGTGGTCTTGTAGGATTTTGGTCACCATAACCCCCAAAAGATCAAACGAGGTCATTGACCTTAGATGAGAATGTGACGTTTTGCCTAGAACACTTATTTATGTTCCAGCGGCCCTTTGCAGACCATCCTGGAATTTGACCTCGTTTGACCTTAACTGACCGAAAGATCCTGATCTAGGAACGTCAAACTTTCACCCAAGTGAGTTAACGCACAGGTTAATGCACTCTGTGAATTTGATGTCTCTAGCTCTATTAGTTCCTGAGATCTCAGCGGGGTCAAATTGATCCCCACC